GCGTTATGGGACTTTTTTTGTCCTTCACCAGTTGAGAAGTTCCTGAGGTGAAGGACAAAAACCCTTACTGCTAACATTTAACAAACTTCTGAAGTAAAACAGAACCCTTAAGTAGTTACAACACAGCTAAGTGCCTGGAAACAAGAACAGCAATATCCCAAACCAAAACAGAATTCCAAACAGAAAAAGGCTGGCAATATGCCACAGTAACAGCTATACCATTCTCACCAAGGTCAGGTGTCATAACTGTCACAGTTCAGGGCAATTGCACTTGTATTCCCTCTCTGTAGTCCCTCAAGGACAGACACTCTTGGTTCCTGGCTCCTAAGCCATCACCTCTTTTGGGTGGAGATCCGTCTCTCCCCCTCCCATCTGGGGATTTTCCAGGCTGTACAGTTTCCTGCCTACACTTTGTTATCCCCATCAAACCACGCTGCCTAAACAGGCCAGTGTGTGTGCTTTGCTTTCTCTGTAAAGGCTATGAACAACATAATTGCCAGCAGTTATGACCTACCTCACAGCTCTTTATAAGCAAGAACATTTATTCTGAAGATAAAAGTATTACAGAGAAAACATATAAAAATAAAGTTTCCTATACACATGCTAAAAGATTACCAGAGGTCACTCATCAGTCTTACGGTGCTTCCAACCCTTCCCAGGAAAGATTGGGGACTCCCTTGGATAGAGGGTCCTGTCCACTTACTGGATCAGACAGAAGACCCTGAGTCCTTAAACACAGGTGATTTATCCAAAAGTCCTTTGTCTGCTGTCTCTAGAGAATCCAGTTTGAACCAGCACATGAGAGCCTCTCCAGGTGGCAGCCCTTCTTTGGATGTGTTACAGCCTGAGTGAATTTTCCCAATCACCCCACACTGTTCTTAGTTCCTGGAGGAGCTATCGTCACCCTCCTGCATGGAATTACACATCATCCCTGGCCCACAATGATATATACACTTAATATAGGAAGATCTCCCAAAGATATTGCAGAAAATTGCTCTATCTATCCATATCTGGGGATCAATCCAACACACGGAACAGAGAGAGCCAAACAAAATAATACCACCATCTAGCTCTTACATAGCACTTTTCATAAGTAGATCACAAAGGAGAACACTGGCTCAGTTTCTTGAGAACATCCAGAATTCTGTTGACAGTGCTTGTGCACAGAAGAAACACAAGTCTGGTTTGTGAACAATAATGACAACTATGAGGAGCAGCAAACACGCCACTGTATAAGTAGCTGTTTCCAGAAGAAGTAGCGGCTGTACAATCAGAAAGCCACAGTGGTTCAGAAATAATGGCTATCAATAGATACTAGGGCTGTTGATTAATCGCAGTTAACTCAAAAAAAAATAATCAAAATTAGATTAATTGCACTGTTAAACAATAGAATACCAACTGAAATTTATTAAATATTTTGGATGTTTTCTACATTTTTAAATATATATATTTCAATTACAACACAGAATACGAAGTGTACAGTGCTCACTTTATATTTTTTTATTATAAATACTTGCACTGTAAAAATGATAAACAAAAGAAATAGTATTTTTCAATTTCACCTCATACAAGTACTGTAGTGCAATCTCTTTATCATGAAAGTGCAGCTTACAAATGTAGGTTTTTTGCTACATAGCTGCACTCAAAAACAAAACAATGTAAAACTTCAGCGCCTACAAGTCCACTCAGTCTACTTTTTGTTCAGCCAATTGCTAGGAGAAATAAGTTTGTTTACATTTACGGGAGATAATGCTGCCCACTTCTTCATTACCATGTCACCTGAAAGTGAGAACAGGCATTCACATGGAACTGTTGTAGCTGACATTGCAAGATATTTATGTGCCAGATGCGCTAAAGATTCATACGCCTCTTCATGCTTTGGCCATCGTTCCAGAGGACATGCTTCTATGTTGATGATGCTTGTTAGAAGAATAATGCGTTAACTAAATTTGTGACTGAACTCCTTGGGAGAGACTTGTATGTCTCCTGCTCTGTTTTACCCACATTCTGGCCATATATTTCATGTTATAGCAGTCTCGGATGATGACCCAGCACATGTTCATTTTAAGAACACTTTCACTGCAAATTTGACAAAATGCAAAGAATATACTAATGTGAAATTTCTAGAATAGCTACAGCACTCAACTCAAGATTTAAGAATCTGAAGTGCCTTCCAAGATCTGAGAGGGGTGAGGTGTGGAGCATGCTTTCAGAAGTCTTCCAAGAGCAACACTCTGATGCGGAAACTACAGAACCCAAACCATCAAAAAGTAAATCAACTTTCTGCTGGTGGCATCTGACTTATGATGATGAAAATGAACATTTGTCGGTCTACACTGCTTTGGATGGTTATCAAGCAGAACCTGTCATCAGCATGGACGCGTGTCCCCTGGAATGGTGGTTGAAGTATGAAGGGACATATGAATCTTTAGTGTACCTGGCATGTAAACATCTTGCGACCCCAGGTACAACAATGCCATGCAAACACCTGTTCTCACTTTGAGGTGACATTGTAAACAAGAAGCAGGCAGAATTATTTTCTGCAAATGTAAATAAACTTGTTTGTCTGAGTGACTGGCTGAACAAGTAGGACTGATTGGACTAGTAGGCGCTAAAGTTTTACATTGTTTTATTTTTGAATGAAGGTTTTTTTTTGTACATAATTCTAAATTTGTAAGTTCAACTTTCATGTAAGGAGATTTTACTACAGTACTTGAATTTGGTGAATTGAAAAATAATTCTTTTGTTTTTTACAGTGCAAATATTTGTAATAAAAAATAAAGTGAGCACTGTACATTTTGTATTGGGTTGTAATTGAAAGCAATATATTTGAAAATCTAGAAAACGTCAAAATATTTAAATAAATGTTATTCTATTATTAACATTGCAATTAAATGCGATTCATTTTTTTAATTGCTTGGCAGCCCTAATAGATATCGCTAAAAGGCAAAATAATTCCAATTTTTGTCATCTACCTTAATCTCAATAGAAGACATTGTTTTGTTTTTCTTATAATTGGTTGTATTAGTTGATAGTTTTTCTCTAGGTGGTATTATGTTTTGTTAGCATTTGATTTTCAAAATAAGGGAAGGTATAACAACAGCAACTCCAATCCATATTACTGATCCATGTGACAGAGATAGTAAGCTTTTGTAATTCTTACCTGCGTGAGGTGGTTGAGTCAGGAAACAAAAACCTGCATGCCCATGTAATACAATTTATTACACAGGTAGATCTCTGTTTTAGAGATGGGAAAACTGAAGTGCAGAGATTCAGTGACTTGCCCAAGTTGTTACAGAATGTGTGGCAGAAATGAAAACAGAAACCACATCTGAATCCCACTCCTGTGTCTCTACTACAATATCATAATTCTTTCCAGGAGCCTCTGGACTATGTAATTCTTCAGCTCACCTGTTTATGCTTGAGTGCAATTAAACTGCTTTGTTAACAGCCATTTTGGATCAAGCTACTGTACTATAGGCAGTGACTTCATTTCAACAGCCGAATTACTTCAACAGAAATGTAATTGTTCTACAGTAAAAGTAACCACAGCTGTGTTTTAAGCGTGAATATTAATACCAGTTTTTAGGGCCACATTTTTATAAATAGGTACAGGCAATTGCACATGCTGCAATATGCATACACAAATACAGTGATTATGAGTGCAATCACAGTAACTGCACATGCAAGTAACAAAGTACACATCTAACAAGTCATCTGCACATATAATTGCATGTCCCCTTTTCTAAATATCTTGTTCATGTTATACATAAATGTGTACAACTCAGTATTGTATATAAAACATTTATTCTTTTCAGAGCACATTTCTTACAAAAATGTAAACCGAATTATTTTTTGGGTGGAAAGAACTATCTTCCCCGCCCCCCCTATAAAATACCCATATTTGATCTAAGTTATTTTCCCATCAATTTATTTTCATATTAGATACTCAAATGTTAAAATAAACTAAGAGAAAACACTAAACCTGAGATATTGAAGATAACTGGATTTATCTTTAACTTCATTATGAAATGGGCTGAAAAAAACCCGAGTGAAGAGAAAGCATCCCTGCCTGTGGTATTAACTGAATATCTTAACTACCTGGAGACCATGGTGGTGATGAAGGTTTTTGTAATATGGGTACTTGCCCACCAGAGAAATACGAGGAATCATAAGCGAGGCCTCCAACTTATTATGCACAAGCCAATGACTAGTTTCAATAAATGACATGCAGGAGTGAAAGGCTCCAAATTCCATTATCTGAGTTATTCAGTCCTCAAAAATTCTCTAGTTATAATTTAAAACTTATATGCAAAGCTCTGATTAGAAAGGTACATATTCTCTGATTTAAACACAACCTTGTTTAACAGCAGTCTTATTTGAGATTGCTGGGATCCACCCAAGCAGCATCAGAGGGGCTGCTGGCAGAGTCACAGCCTGAGCCACCCATATTTCAACAAGAGGAAAAAATACCAAGAGCTCCATTTAACTTTAGGCACATCAGCATCCAAAAGAAAACAACTCAAGCGATTAAAAAGAGTGTAATTTAAAATTAGCGTGCGTTAAATCACAGTAGGATGTGATAGAGCTAATGTGTACCTATACTCATGGATTGCAATAGCTGTGAAGACCGCATGGATTAGTAAACCATAACTCATGCCCTGCGGTGTTGTACTACTGAAGTAACACCTATCTTGTTGTGTTTTATGCCTCCATGATCACAGCAGAATCCCTAGTATGAGTCCACTGAAGTCAAAACAAATATGGGCCCCCTTATGATTACAAACAAGGCCAGGGTTTAAATGACACTAAGATCCTACATTTACATCACCAGTATTTCCGCCTTGCTTATTGCAGAGAAACATAGGGTAGAATATCTTACAGTATGCCCCAAGGCCAATGGTCACAGTAAGATATAATGGAATGCTGTCCCATAATGTATGCTACTAACACCAGTACGTTTTCTTAAGCTGTATTTGTGTGAATGATGAATTTATTACCTGAACTTTAAGATCAGTCTTTCATATTTAGACATCAAAAGGTGTGTGTGCCAGATGTAGACTCATCTGAATCACTTAGATTATATTTTTTCCATAAAAAATTATCATTTTGTTTCCAAAGAGAACTTTCATGAACTTCCTTCTTTTTTGTCAAAGCAATAGGAGGTACTCTTTCACACAACTCCTCTATGACGGCCATGTCTGTGAGCTTTCTGAGACTCTCATCATTCTGCTCATTCAGCACATCCCAGAAGTCTTTTGGTCGTTCTTTTGCTTTTTCTGCAGGCCCTGAAAGAGATGTTCTTGGCAGCTCCGTAGGCCTGTTTCCATTACTTTTGAAGAGGTCATTGAGAACAGAGGTGTCTCCTAGTAAGTCTACAAAAGAGTTTTTCTTGTAAGTCTGAGTTTCTCTTTCTCTGTTTTCTGACTGAGACAGGGATCTTTTTCTTTGAGATTCCATCCCCTCCGAGTCCTGCTGTCCTTTAGTGATATTTACAGAGAGCACATCTATTATTTCTGATTTACTGCTTACTGAGTCAGTTGCCATAAAATCTTTGAATGGTTGACTGTTTCTCCCACTGAAGCTATTTTGGGTATTGACAGTGGACAATTGTTTATCTTTTGAATTAAGACACACAGCATCTTGAATGCAGAAATCATTGTGAAACTGTTTTGCTTCTCCTTTGTGTCTTTTTTGGCTACATATTCCTGCAGTCACACAGGGAGGATCTTCAGCTGAAGGACCAGACCTTGATTGTCCACATTTTACAATGGCCCTTCTCTTTCTACAATGACTTATATACACCTCTTCTTCCTCACACCCATCTGAAACGCGTACTGGAACTTTGACTGGAAATAGGTCCTCTAACTCTGGACACTTTCCAGCATAAAAATCTCTCAACATTTTCTGTCGTACTCCTGATGTGGCTTTTGCAATATATTCTGCAAGTTCTTCAACTGAAGCCATGTTAAAGTGGGATACCATTTCTTCAAACTGTTTCCTATCACCATCAATAAAGAAAAACATGATTATCTTGTCTTAATTTTTTTTAAAAGGCACAGAGTATAAAATAAAGATACAATCAATTCATTCAGTTTAATTAACTTATTTAACACAAACCTAGATGAGAACTGAAAGTCATACCCTTATTGGTAACAGTACTAGTTCTGACTTCAACTGCAAGGAAAAGACCAAGAGCAAAATATTCAAAGTTGCCAAAGTGACACAGGGCTTGTCTACATCATGGTGGGGTAATGTGCTCTACATGGGCGTGCTTTCCAAAGGGCACTAACGTGTTGCTGATTAATAGGTCCCTGTAGACCCTGCTGATGTGATTTAACATAGCACTGTTTGAAACAGCTGTAGGTGAAACTGTACTATGGAAACTTTAGCATGCACCAGCATGCTACAGGGTCTACAGGGACCAATTAATGCACAACCAATTAATGCACTTTAGAAATCACAACGTTGGAGAGCACATTTCCCCCACGTGCAGACAAGCCCTTAGGAGTCCAATTTTCAAAAGTGACTTAGATACTCAGGAGCCTAAACTTTATTGAAAGGCAAAGGGACTGAGGCCCGGTCCTACATCTAAAATGTAGGTCGATCTAACTATATCATTCAGGGGTATGAAAAATGCACAGCCCTGAGAGATGTTGTTAAGACAGCCTAAGACCCAGTGTGCACATCACGAGGTTGACGGAAGAATTCTTCTGTCAACTAGCTACTGTCTCTCAAGGGGGTGGATTTAGTACAGTGCTGGAAAAACTCCTGCCACTGTAGCAAGTGTCCACACCCCACTGCTGCAGCTATGCCACTGTAGTGCTTGTCGTATAGACTTACTTTTAGGTGCCTAAGGGCCAGATTTTTAAAGGTATTTAGACATCAAAGTTTCATATACAGCACCTAGTGGCATTTTCAAAAGTGCCTAGCACCCACTGAACCAAAATCACTTAAAAAAAATTCACTTGAAAAGTTGAAGGCATAATTTATGACATACCACCATGTGTCACATTAAACTTGGGAGTAAAATGTTCCTGGAAAGGTCTGAACATGTACAGATGAGAGTTCTAATACTACACAGCCACTGGTTCAGATATCAAGTGCTACAATAACACACTGCTTGGTCTTCCACCCAATTCCAGAACACAGAGTAATTTAAAATCTCAAATATTAAAAAGGTCTCTGACTAAACTGGACACATGCAATACATTTTCTATAGATCTGATCCTTGGAACTAAAGCTTGAAATTAGCTCAACTCCTTTGGGTGCAGATAGTAAGCAGCCATTTTTGCAGGCTTCTGAGAGAATGCAGCTCTGGGAACAGAGAGCAAGCTCAGATATAGAGGCCCATTAGGAACTTCTCACAACTCTTAAAATGATCAGCTGCAGCTCATGGGGAACCATTGGCCTACCCAGAAATTATTGAAATGTTCCTTTAGCAATGAGTTCCTTTCAATGCAAGTGTTTTGGGTTTTAACATTCACAGTTAATTTGAGAGAGGAAGTGGGATAAAATTTTGCTGGATACTTGTATTAGTTTATGGTTTGACATCTACCTTACTTAAATTCCTCCTCTCATGAGAGGAAAGGAGAGAGAATTAAAACTAAATTATAATTTGATAAAATATACTGTATGGTGATAAAGCAGGAGACCTACATATAATTCTGAAAACAAAACACTATGTCCAATGTTTGGGCAATTCATTAACAGAGACCTAAAAGTGAAAAGTATCCTAAATTGGATATTGATTTTTACTCATTTTAAGAACAATAGAAGGAGATAAGCCCATTCATCCACTCAATAATTCATATTGAAATGCTATCTGGTCTGATGGAGGGGAGCTTGGGTGAAAGATCTTACCAAATTAGAACAAAAAACCTCCATGCTATTAAAAGTATGTATTGAGAATATAAGACACAATCTTTATACTGAATTTTAAGACATAAAAATTGGTGTTATAAACAAAATCTTTTTTTCAAAATTAACTTATCTTAGAACATTGTGAACCTCTAAGGCCAGCCTATGTTTGTTTTGGATACAATACTTTAAACAACTTGATTTAAATGAACCCATAAGTACCAAAGGCCATGGAAACCTAAATCATGGTAATAATTGACACATTGCAAAGAATTAATCTAATATTTATGGACTGCTGAACTCTGAGCTTTCCTGGCTTCAGTAACAACTTGGTTATTAATGTCTTGTAAACAAGAAGTAATTTTTTTTTTTTTGGTAAGGAACTTCATATTCTCACCAACACTTGTCCATACTTTCACTCACACAGTTTTACCACCTTAGACAGTGGAAGAATACAGAAACTTTAAAATCTTGTATTTACAGAAATCATAAGGAAAAGTCATGGGATTCAATCTCCTCTGCAATCTAAGTGGCTGCTGATGACCAAGTTGTGTGCAACAGAATCATTAAAATAAAAAAAATATAACTTTTCAAGACAACAAGCTATTTTGGAACGAAAGCTACATATGAAATATTTTAAGCTAAAATATCCTGCAGTAAAGTTAAAACATGTTATGAATTCAACAGAAAACTTCAGGCGAGCAGGTATTGACATGCCTTACATAATTTGTGAGGCACAACAAAAAGCTGGGAGCATTCTATCTAGCAAGTTATATCTGCCGTGACTTATTGTTCTTATATGCTTTTTTTATTTCTAAAATAACAGTAGGAATTCTGAAGTAGGAAACTGTTACTGATAAAACAGTTCTCCTGATGTACTATAGTGCAAAGTAGCAACAAGGATTTTTCTAAGCTTATCTAGTAATCTGTCTTGCTGATACCTATGAAAGATTCACAGGGATAATTTTCTTCCTTCCATCCCTCTACTGTTAGACAATAGACAGCTCAGGCTTGAGTGGTGGGAACAGTGAAAATGGTTTGAGTGGTAGCGCACACACACAAAGTAGAGAGAGTTTACATGTACTTTCTAAGGTTTATACTTAGCCTGGTTGAACACGTAATATTTTCCACAGACAGCAACACTGCTTGCTTTTCACACGCTGCTCAAACAATGTGTATCAACCCTAAACTGGAGGGACCATCTTACAAATGACAAATAGTACAGTGCCCATACCCACCATTCAGTCTTCAGCCGATTTAATCCACTGAGACTGCCCAAAAGGGTGCCAATCAGAGTATTTTTGGGATGTGAATACTTGTCTCCTTTGGCACTGCAAGGAGCTCAATGGGAGCTGCAGAGTTGGTGCTTGGGCCGGGGGCAGTGCGCGGAGATTATCCTCCCAAGGGGCTGCAGGTACTTGCCGCCGGCTGCTTTCAGGAGTGGTGCGGAGCGAGGGTGGGCAGGAAGCCTGCCGTAGCCCTGCTGCACTGCCAGCGGTGGTGCCTGGGGCCTCCAGGGCCTTTTAAACCACCCTGGCCCCTGGGCAATTGCTCCCTTGACTCCCCACGTCGGCAGGCCAGAGTGTGGTTCTTGCAAAGTGCAGAACTATCAAGAATGCCATCCATCAGAATACATACTAAATCTAAGCTCCCTTTGCCCAATCTTTGATGGCTATTCATGTTGAAGTTAGGGGTCCTGTGGGCAATTTTAAAAGAAAAATAGCACTTAACCCTGGCTTCTCAGCCAAATTTATCTCAACAACAAAAAACATCACACAGAATAGGTTCTTATGTCCTAGATTGTGAGGGAGTCATGAATGAGCATGTGGCCACTGCATTACCTATACCTAACTCATTGGTAAGTCAGTCACTTTGGTATACCTTTAGAAAGTTGAAATCTACAGCCATTTAAAACTGAAAACAATCTTCAAGAATATGATTGTACCAGACTAGGCCCTGAGTCTCAGACATATTGCTGTTGGTTCTTTTAAACTAGACACTTTCTATAAAATGCAGAAGGTTTGTAAAGAGGTCATCTTTTCTCCTAGTTGAGTTCTAAATGCAGCCAACACTCCCGTTTTCCCTTCCCCATCCCCACAGTTGGGCCTCTTTTCAATAAAAGCTTGAGAGTTTCCAGCATTTAGCAGCAGCATCTCACACAAGTCTGTTTGCAACCAGCTACTGTTTTCCGCAAGATTATTTCCAGCCATTCTCAGCTTTGGTAGAATATTTGGTTGCAAAATTTCATATTTTCAGATTTCTGTCCAAAGATATTGGCACCATTCTAAATGGAAGGTTAAAACACAGGATTCAACAAGCCCTAAGAGGCCCCTGCTCTAATTTTACATGAAATAAGACTGGTTTTGCTTATTAATCGTTTCTAAATCCATTTTCAAGGCTTTTAAAAATCTGAAGATTTATTATCACTATCAAGCTAGACTACGTAAGTGATACTCTCTGACACTTCACTTTAACTCTCTAAAAAAATATAGAGCTTTTCCAATCTAAATAGTTTATCCAAATATTCAGCTGCTCCACTTTTTCCTCTCCCCTCTCACACCCATAAAACAATCCATTTTTAGAAGTACAAAACTAATACAAAGAGATTTAGTGAAAAAAATCTGTATTAAAATATTCCTAAAAGTTACATACACTGCACATTTTGTATATAAGTGCAAAGAATCCCACGGGTAGGGTGTATTTAAAAATTCACTTTAAACTTATCAAATATATTTTAAAAATGTCAATCCACTTAGGCTCATTTTCAAATTATTGGGAAAGACCTTTAAATAATTCAGACCAAGTTTCCAATTTCAGATCAGGAGGGTGTTTTTGTTTTGTTTTAACTATGATGTAGATAATCTGCTATTTAGTTTGGACAGTGAACCAGTCTGTTTCTGTTAAAAAAAGAAATTCATAGTTAACATATTTTGAACATCTACAACAGCATCTCTGTTTTAATATTACTAGTTATATGCCTCTTGGGCTTCTCCCAGTAGCAGCTATCCAGACTCCAACATTTACAGAAGAATGCTGCATACCTTCTTCAATGGAGAAAGCAGCTTGATTACAAGTATATCCTTAAACAATTTTTACTGGCTCCCCACTTACTTCAGGATCCAATCTGATATTGACCTCCTTGTTTCTATAATGCACTTGCTTCAGCTGATTTCATAAATTCTCTCTCTCAACTCCTTGCTTAGTTAGCAATGGCCTATACCTTTCTATTTCTGCATGCTCTTTGATCATTGTTACTATGAGAACTTTCTCCTTTGCAGATCTTGACATCTGCTACAATGTTTCTTTTTCTCTGCGCAATTATAATTTAAATGTTGCTAATTAGTATTAAATAGTGAGGAGGGACAGGGTGGAGTGGAGTGGGGGATGGACTGGAGGAGGGGTGGGGGAGAGAGAGAATGAACTAGAATGAGTCTTTTTCCAAACTGGGATTTTGCAGGGGGAGAGAGATGTGGGAGGGTGGGGAAGCAGCAGCACAGAAAAATACCCTGTTTTGGAAAACTTGAATCTGTGTTTAAGAAAAACCCAACTTTTTAGTCCTTGTACCCTTCAGCTGAAAGAGACTAGATCTGGATAATACCAGTAGCCAGTCTCCAATCCACGCTATAAAATCTCATTTTATACAATTTAATAAATTAACCTGCAGTATTGTACCATGCACATACCATGAATCCTGCTAGGATGACATCTGCACAGATATGTAATGCATGACATGTTGATTCAACATGTTGAAATGGTTTGTGGGTGGTTCCATTTGAGCTCAGCCTCAAGACTGATGGCTGTAAATTCCCATTTAAGTTTCAACAAGAATTGGAATATCAAATTTGTTTAAGAATCCAAAATTATGATTTTCAACAAGTCATTTATTTTATACATCCTGACTGGCAGTGAAATATCAGACTACTGTCAGGGTACATTTTCAAATTAGCAGGAAAAGAGAAATTCAAAGCCTTACCCCCTCAAGGAGAAGACTACACCTTCCTTCCCTCCCACACACTGGCACTTGCTGTTAAACACATTATAGATTCATCACTTGCCAAAATTCCATTTGTAGAATAAACACTGTTCAGATTTAAATTAAAAATTAAAAAAGAACTTCCTGTAGATGATAAAAATCCTGAATGTATTTTCCCTTAAGTATGTTTTCATAGCCAAGTCATAAACTACACCTGACAGACAGCAAATCACAACACCTTGCACATTCTTGAACGGTTTTAAATATTCACTCCCCTAGAAAAGGCAATATGCATTTTCCAAAAATCAGAACATCAATCTCTTGTCAACACGACTGTTTGTTCCATAATGAATTTTTTTTAAAGAACTGTTTACCGTAGAGTTATAGTCCTAGTTAATAAGTAAAATCCTTAAACAGTTCATCTCTATTCTGGAAAAAGTGAAATTCAGGCTTTTCAGAGTTAAAGGACTGGTAAAACAATCATTTCAAAACAATTTTTGCTAGTAAAGACCATCTTTTGACATATCAACAAGTTACTACCCTCTTTCTGTCAATTTAAAAGCAGAGGCAAACCGTGTGTACTTTAAGTAAACAACTTGTATAAAATCTACAACCTAAGATTTCAAACCACTTCACAAATTCTGGATGCACTGTGAGTGTTTCCATAGGTAAGGAAGAGGAGAGCTTTGCACTTAAAGCAGGGATTCAGCTTTTTTGTAATGTATGAAGAATATATTGCATCCTCCTGAAGCACTTAGCCTGAGTTAAAAACTTCAAAGAAATCTAAATGCGTAGAAGTGTCCAAACAATCTTAACTCTACCTAGCAGTGACAGCATTAAAAATATGAAAAAAAACCAAATACATTTTAAAAGTCAGTTTCTTCTAATCTGAGATACCAAGCACAAAATATGTATCAATCATAATTGCATAGCTGTTACTTTCCCACTCTTTAACAGTGTTTGGATTACTTTTAAATTTAACCGTAACTCTTAATTTCATGGATTTATAATGCTTGTTTTGAGATTAATTACATCCAGGTATTTTTTTTTAATTTTAAATTTCCTGATAAGCACTTTCATCCTCAACTCACATTAATAGTTTTTATCTGAGAATATTCACTGAATCTCAACACCTTTGTGAGAAAGGTAGGAGGGTATTGATCTGCTTTTTTCAGATTAAGGAAAATAATATAGTTGTGTATGGCAGACGCACTTGAGGGGCCACATCTGCAATCCTTAGTCAGAACTCTCAGCAATTTAAATGGGAGTTTTGCCTAACAACTGGACCCATAAAAAACAAGATTCTAATTGCACGTACTGCACAGTCTCTAAACCAGTGGTTCTCAGCCTATTTACCATGGTGGGCCACGTATGCTGCTCACTACTTGCTATGTGGGCCACATACACACAATATATATAATATCTGTATGGCCCTGAGGATGTCACATGGGCTGCAACTGTGTGCTGATTGGGCTTGGCTGCAGATTGAGAACCACTGCTCTAAACCAAAGCAAAATGGACCAAAATCCTTTCCGGGTGTAAATCTATTGACTTTACACAAGTTGCACTGGAATTATTTTGGCCCTCTAAATACAGTTGGAGGTCCTCAAATTACCTCAATTTGAAAATTATCAAAATTATCAACTTTCACAATATTAACTGAAAACACAAAAACAACATGTGTGCCATTTTAAATAATTCATGTCTATATTTTAATTCAGCCAGTATGGCAAAAGTGTGCTGTATAAGCTACAGTATAAAGGCTAAGTTTCCAATTACTTCTGCTCTTGTAACAGAAAGTTATCAATAACCCAGCCCTGCTTTTGCCCACCCATGTCTGACTAAAGTTTATTTGACAAAATGAAAAAATTACACAACTTCCTAAAGTAAAGTTCTCTGTAATTTCTACTTCTTCCTCATCCTCCCACCTTACGAGTCTCACCTGCGAATGCTTTTGGGTGTCTCTCCAATCAAGAAGGTAGTTGGACCTACTCTGTGTACCTTTTTCTTCTTCTGGATTGCAGGATGTGCAATACAAAGGTGAGACTGCTTACTCTTGTCACTTATTTGCTGTTCTCTCTTAATGTTCTTTTTTGCTGATATGGCTTCTTGGGTTTCCTTCTCTCTCTAACAAAAAGAGAAATAGAAAACATTATTTGTCCATATTTCATAGAAGAGGGTTTTTTTAAAATATGTAGCAGTTCTGTTCTGATCACTCTAATTTCACAATTAGCCATGGTCTAGCAGTTAGTATGCTAGCCTGGGACTCAGGAGACCCAACATCAATTCCCTGATGTGTCACAAACTTCCTGTGTGACTTTGAGCAAGTCACTGTATCTCAGTTCCCCACCTGTAAAACTGGGATAATAGCACTTCCCTACCTCACAAGAGGGTAGTGAGGATAAATACACTGAATCTTTCACTAAATGCTAATACAATGCCTGGCACAATGGGGTCCCAATCTCAGTTGGAACCTGCATCAGAATACAAAGAACCTATTCACACATTAAAATTATTGTATTGACTCAAATACATCCTCATTTCTGTCTTGCGTCATTTCGCAAGATTATATGGGTCATCTGAATTTCCACTTAGTTTCTGTTTATTAATGTTTTTGTTACATGTATACTTGCCCTGTGCAGAATTTTCAGCTACTTAATACCCAAGTTTGATTTTCAATCAATTTTTATTTGATGCGTGCCAATTTCCTAACTTCCATGGGACTGTTTGCAGTGTTCTTAGACCCTAGGATCTCACATCTGTTCTCATTATATTACTTTGGCAAAATACAGACCCAATTTGCATGGACGGGGAGGCTTTGACAATGAAGATAAACAAATTAAGAGACCAAAGATTTAAACTTTTACTTTGGCAAGGTAAGTGCACAACTCCAATCATCATCAATGCTGCAGTGAACTCTTACATAGACTACCAAAACTGAAGTCAAGGCTCTAACTATGTTAAAAAAACAAGGTCTTCAGTTCTCAAAGGGAATTGTATAATGATATTACTCAGCAAACAGACAAATTATAAACAACATCTAATAAATTACAAATATTTTTAAAATCTTACTCTGTGTATATTTTAAAATATTTACATATTGTATAATTATTGTTTGAATACATATGGCTATAGAATTTTAATTTAAAATTTGTAATACATTTTAATAGAAAGCCTAAAGGTTAGCTTCAAAATAAATTATTTTGATGGGTCAGATATTTAAATGCAAAATATTTACAGTAGAAAGAATGCTCTCAGAAAATGTCTAGTATTCATCTTTCTTCCTCAGGGAATCAGGAGTTATATTAAAATTATATAATTTAAAATAATGCAAACAAACATAGCTGGTGTACAGTACTAGTCTAGTCATGTCAATGTCTTCCTTAAAAGTATTTTATAACTCCCTAATTTTTCATTCATTTATTTCCTTTCATTAGAGAACATGGAATAGATGAGGCAGCAATGCTTTGGTTTACACATCTGTTCAAACACAAAAGATTAAAAATCTCTCTCTTTGGGAAAAAGCCAAATCCTGTAAACACACTAAAAGTCATAAACTTGCTAGTCTTTGCAAAGAACCAGAATTACTGTAAAAACATACTGCTTACTGTAAATAAACTCTCACAAATGGCATCTGTAATTCTAAAAAGGACAAAAACTTTTAAGTGTGTTTACAAAAGTTTGTGAAACTCTTATCCTGCCCAAATTAACTGGTCACGGTTTCTGCATGGAGGTAGAAAAAGTTACTGTAAACACCATTTCCCAAGAGCTAATGCTAGTGGAAGCCTAAAGCAACTATGAATTACATTTGAATGTCTTAATTCAGTCTTCTGGACAAAAGCCAACTGGTGAAATGGACCCACCACCAACTTATGTTGATACAGAACTACTGGCATTATTTGAATTTATGAAAATGTTCATGATTTTATCAAATTCAAACCCAAGTCTAAACCCGAATAACACTTTTCAAAAATGACCAACATGAACTTTTAGGCAAGAACAGAGGGTTATAGTGTAGCTTTTCTTAAGAAATCTTCAAACTCTCTCAGGGCCTTATCCAAAGACCATGGACTTCAATTATAGCTGAGATAAGGCCTAAATGCAGCAGTATGTTTTGCACGTAGGTAAGTGAAAATATTTCATGAATCATTTGACATAATTTGAAAAATTCTTTTGTTGTTTGTTTACTTCCAAATATCAATTTTTCATATTGTAATTACTGTTAAAATAGCCAAAAACTTCACAGGAACATTTTGGCTGCTCCTTTCTTCTTTTGTTTGTGCTTTGAATTGGATTTCTATGTATTACTCTCATCAAGCCTACTCTCATTTCCTCCTTTTTTACTCTCACATTGCTGATGTTCTTTCCAGTCCACTCTCTTAACGGCTGTTTGGCTTCTTCTCTTACCCTCTGCTTCAAGCCTATTTCTTGCCAGCAACTTCCTTTCAACAGCTGCCCTCTTCTTGTTCCTCAAGGACCTTTCCGCTCCACCTTCAAACCCACATCATTTGTTATAAGTCCTTCTAGGCCAAATTCCATGCTGACATTACACCATTGGCCTCTTTCCTTTGCATTATCTCATATATTGTATACATCTGAATTACACACCATTCCTGCAAAGACGGATTGAACTGCATGGGACTTGATACTATCATATCCTTTTATAGATTGGACTTTAAGATTGCAAACTCCTTGGTACAGAGACCATCATGTTTGTAAAATGCCATGCTCACTTACAATACTCTATAGAATACTCTGACTTTGGAATAAGACATGTCTAAAAAACAGTAAAAAAAAAAAAATCAGTGAGATGACCAAAAAATGCTACCACGGCTAAAACAGAATAAAAGAGGCAGTTAGAGACAAAAACACATCAATTTAAAAACTGGAAGTCAAATCATAGTGAGGAAAACAGAAAAGAGCATAAACTCTGGCAAGACAAGTGTCAAAGTATAATTAGGCAGGCCAAAACATTTGAAGAGCAAGTAGCAAAATAAAAAACTAAGTAATTTTTTCGAAGCAGGAAGCCCGACAAATGATCTGCGGAGCCACTGGATGATCAAGGTGCTAAAGGAGCACTTATGGAAGACAAGGCTGTTGCAGAGAAGCTAAATTAATTTGTTGCATCTGTCTTCACTGCAGGGGATAAGAAGGAGATTTCCACACCTAAGCCATTCTTTTTAGAAGATGCATCTGAGGAACTGTCCCAGATTGAGGTGTCAATAGAAGAAGTTTGGGAACAAATTTATAAATTAAACAGTAATAAGTCACCAGGACCAGATGTTCTGAAGGAACTTAAATATGAAATTACAGAACTACTAACTGTGGCATGTAATCTATCACTTAAATCAGCCTCTGTACCAGCTGACTGGAGGATAGCTAATGCAATGATCATTTTAAAAAAAGGTTCCAGAGGCGAGCCTGTCAATTACAGGCCAGTAGCAAGGAAATTGGTTGAAACTATAATAAAGAACAGAATGACCAGATACCTAGATGAATATAAGATGTGGGGGAAGAGTCAACATGGCTTTTGTAAAGGGAAATCATTCTTCACCAAATCTACTAGAATTCTTTGAGAGGGTCAACAAGCAAGTGGACCAAGGTGATCCAGCTGATATAGTGTACTTGGACTTTCAGAAAACCTTTGACAAGATCCCTCACCAAAGGCTCTTATAAGCAAAGTAAGCAGTCATGGGATAAAGAGGTTATATAATAAGAGGGAAGGTCCTCACATGGATCAGTAACTGGTTAAAAGATAGGAAACAAAAGGTAGAAATAAACAGTCAGTTTTCACATTGGAGAGAGGTAAATAGTGTCATCCCCTAAGGATCTGTACTGGGACTAGTGCTGTTCAACATATTCATAAATGATCTGGAAAAGGGGGTGGCAAAGTTTGCACACAACACAAAATTATTCAAGACAGTTAAGCCCAAAGCTGACTGAGAAGAATTATAAAGGGATCTCACAAAAATGGGCCACAAAATAGCAGATGAAATTCAATGATATGACAAATGCAAAATAACGCACAGTGGAAAACATCATCCCAACCATAGATACAAAATGACGGGGTCTAAATTAGCTGTCATCACTCAAGAATGAGATCTTGGAGTCATCGTGGACAGTTCTCTGAAGATATCTGCTCAATGTTCACCAGAAGTCAAAAAAAAGCTAACAATGTTAGGAACCATTAGGAAAAAGTGACAGATGCTAAGACAGAAAATATCATAATGCCATATAGAAGTCCATGGTACGCCCACATCTTGAATATTGCATGCAATTCTATTCGCCACATCTCAAAAGCAGAGAGATTAGAATTGAAAAAGTACAGAGAAAGGCAACAAAAATGCATATGGAAGTTCCCATATGAGGAGAGATTAAAAAGACTGAGACAGTTCAGCTTGGAAAAGAGACAAAAAAGGAGGGATATGATAGAGGTCTATAAAATCATGAATGGTGTGAGAAAGTGAACAGGGAAATGTTATTTATTTCACAGAACAGAAGAATCATGGGTCACCCAGTGAAATTAATAAGCAGCAGGTTTAAAACGAACATGAGGAAGTACTTCTTCAAACAATGCATAGTCGAGCTGTGGAACTTATTGCCAGGGGATGTTGTGAAGGCCAAAAGTATAACTGGGTTCAAAAAAGGATTACATAAGTTCCTATTAGCTAAAATAGTCAGGGATGCAACTCCATGCTCTGGGTGTCCCCTAAAACCTCTGACTGCTAGAAACTAGGAGTGGATGACAGGGGATGGATCACTTGATAAATTGCCTTGTTCTGTTCACTCCCCCTGAAGCATATGGCACCGGCCACTGTCAGTAGACAGGATACTGGGCTAGATGGACCACTGGTTTGTTCCAGTATGGCCATTCTTATGTAAGCCCATAGGAGAAAAATCTTTTAAATGGGCTAGCAAATTCTTATCTAGGCAAGCATATTTTATATCACTATATTAAAACCTTACAAACACCAATAGAACCATACCAATTCACATTAGTGAATGGGAGACCCATTATGCATTACTGAATTCTGTGACCAAGTGAAGAAATGAACAAAACAATAAAAAAGCCAGAATCCTGTATCACAAGTCATATTTTGTGCATGTAGTTTAGTTCTGATTTTTTT